TCTAGCACAATTGGCTGGTGTTGTGGAGCTGCTAACTGTGCTAACATATATACTACACTCTTGAAATCCTGATGAGATGGAATAGGAGGAACTGGAGGTGGTACTGGTTATGGAGCCGGAAGTCCTGTAGCCCTCGGAGGCTCCTGAAGCGATGGAGAAGCTATAGGGGGCTGTGAAGATGTCTCTTCATGGGTCTCCCAATGGGCTACCTTCACCGATGGTACCTTTCCGGTACCATCACCTGCAGTTGTATCTAGCTCCTGGCTAGCTGTGGTCTGTCCAGTGTCAGCCATCTCTATCTGCATACAAGTATCAATTATAAGCAAGAAACCTCAACCTTTAAGACACCGCTCTATAGCATGAGGTGAGCAAAAGAAGGATAGTCATTCAAACATGCCCTATAGCTTCTTGCTTATCGAATGTGGTGCACAACACATTTATAAACAAGACTCTACTAGACACAGCTAGCAGACTCCCTTGGATACAATATTAGTCTAACACCAAGTTTGTCACGCCCCAACCTTAAGGGGCGGAACTGGCTTTTAATGCCAAAACTCAGGCCCGATCCGACCCTGCTGAACCATTTGCTACTAGCGCATGGCAGACACACGCAATCAAGAAAAAAAAACTAGTATATCCCGGCTTAAAACTAAGTCCTCGACCGGTAAGGCTCCTGTCAACATATATATAAAAGAAACAGCTACTCCCAAGAGTTCATATAAAGAAATAGCCAACTAGCACAGAAGTCTTGTCTGGGCCGTCGACACCATGATATCTATACAAAAACTAGAAGCATGTATATATTAAGACAATACATCAAACAACTCACAAGCTTCAGCAAACCAACAAAACTAGGCCAGTATGGCCATAACCTAGTTGTACACCCCACACACTAGTCTGCAAGCCTCAAAGAGTAGTAAAGATTGGTGGGACAGGGCCCAGCCTACCCATAAAAATATACCCAACAAAAGCTATCAAACCTCCAAACTCTGGCAGCTCCGGAGGAAAGGGACTACACAACCGGATAGAAGTCAATCCTGCTACTGAAGAGGTCTACTCGGTCGTCTGTCAGAACCTGCATGCATGAATGAAGCGCCCCCAGGCAATGGGGCGTTAGTACAAAATAATGTACAGAGTATGAAAGGCTGTAGACTAAATGAGCAAGTATCATAATATACCAAAAGCAATCATGTAAGGATATCAAATTTAGATAAGCATGCCAACCTACTATTGAATCTAATAAAATAAAATAATGATCAAACATCACCCTAACCAAGCCTCCATAACCCCAGTAGGTACAAACAACATACCACCTACTTAGGCCCCCATAAGCCCAGAAGGTGCCAAATCAATCTACATAACCTTATCGGTAGACCCTTGTCTTTGTAAGAAGTTACGTTGCCCTTTTTGGCAACGATATATCCCCGTAGGCAGCGCATAGCCCTCTTAGGCAACATCATAGCTCTGTGGGCTGCACGTAGCCCTCTTTTGCATCACATAGCCCTATAGGCAATACATAGCCCTCTTTGGGGTCAAAATAGCCCTGTAGGCAACACATAAAACTCTTTGGCATCAATATAGCCCCGTGGCCAACACATTGCGCTCTTTGGAAATAACGTAGTCCTATTAGACAACATCATAGCCCCCACAGGTAGTTCATAGCTCAACATCTAGCCACAATAGCCCCAAGGGTGACAACAAGCAATTAAATAGGATGAAGGCGAGTAATTTAGCTATAAACAATATATATGAATAATGTCCAAGTCGTTCCTAGCTTAGGGTTGTTCTGAACATATTATGAGTCCCTAAAATGAGGGTTTATAACCACTCAATCAGCCAACCACTCACAATTACATCCACAACATAACTAACAGTAACTACCCTATTATATCACTCCCAAGCTCTAAGGAAACATGCCAAACGAAGGGGGTAGCCTTAACATGCCTTTTCTTTTATAATTTATGCTAAAAATACCTCTGTCCACACCACTACAACACTAAAGAAAAAGGTAAAATCAATCAGTAATTAAGGATAAAAATTTCTACGACAATTCGACAATTGATACGGATTCCTATCGTAAACTACAATCCAAGACCTAAGGTATTCGTAAAGTGATAAAAGGTGATTCCTACCTTTCTTTAAATGACCAGAACACTTGAATACAATCACTCCATTGAAATAAAAAAAACCATGCTACCACAACCTCCACGGAGCTACACCGCTCAATTCACCGTGAAAATTATACCAAAACGACGAGCTCGTGACGTAGGGTAATTTTTTATAAGAGGCCGAGAAGAGATCATGAACACACAAGGATGATTTGAGGAGTTTTTCTCTGATTTTCGTAGGTTTCTCATGATTTGGAATGAAGAAAAATGAAGAAGATGCTATCTTATAAGCTTCCACCGACTTAGGGGACCCACCTCACGTGCCTGCTTGTGCAGTCTCACAAAAACGCGAATATCTCTTTATTTTGAAGTCGTATGAACAAACTGTTTGATGGGTTGGAAACTACACTCGTAGACCTTCGATTTAATGGGTCGTGGGCCATAACTCTTTATATATTGGGAAAAAACTTCTGAAACATTTGACCCAAATTTCAGAGAAATCTTTAAAAAGGAACTTACGATAACTTTCGCCCACTTTTATTTTCGGCTTACCTTACTTCAAAACTTGAGATACAACCCTTGAACACTTAAAATATGACATACCACATCATTCTTAATTTATTACTCACCCTATTTGTCTTTCCACGAATGTACGAATTAATTTGGACGTTTAGAAAAGTCGGGGTGTTACATGAAAATCCATCATCCCTTAGTCACAAAGACCACAAAATCTTGAATATTGGAGACTTGACTTGACCCTAGCTTCAACTCTTCCTTCTTCTTCCACCTTTTAGAGAGAGAATATTTGAGAGAGGAGTCTTGGGATTTCTTTTGGAATTTGATAGAATGAGTTAAAATGGGGTATTTTAGGGGTTAAAAATACTTTTATAGGTGTTCTAGATGTAGGTAAAATGACACCACATCGAGTTAATTAAAATTGGAAAAGACTCATAAGGCCCTAAAATAAGTGCCAGCTCGTGATCTACGGACCCCCGACCGTCGGACCATGGACAGGACGACGGACCGTCATGTACAGCCGTTGTTCGGTAGTCAGAGACTTGTTTTGAGGGCTCGACCTACGGACCCTATGCCACGGACCGTGGTCTGACCGATGGTCTGTTGGTCAGGCCGTGGTCCTGAAGTGTGAGTCAAGTTGAGGTGCCCCAACCATGGACCCTACCTACGGCCCATGGTCCCAACCACGGTCCATGAGTGGCCATCGTCGGTTGGCACCTGCAACTTTCTAAATATGCAATTTTGCCTCATTTTGAATCCGGGGTGTTACAAATAGTCAATTTTTTTATCTTCATAGGGGATTCTTCATCAAATCACTTGTGTTAGAACACCTCAACAAAACGGAGTTATTGTTGAAAGAAAGCATAGGCACTTATTGGAAACCTCAAGGACTTTGTTGTTTCAATCTCACTTGCATATCGAATACTGGGGTGAGTGCCTCTTAACTGCTACATATTTGATTAACAAATTTCCCTCCAAAGTGATCGGAATGAAGACACCCTTTGAGCTACTGTATGGTGTACTTCTTACCTATCACAATTTGAGATGTTTTGGTTGTTTATGTTATATTTCTACCTCTTGTGCACATAGGGGGAAGTTTGATCCTAGATCTCAGTCTTGCATTTTTCTTGGATATCCTCATGGAAAAAAGGGCTATAAACTACTCAATTTGAATACTAAGAGAGTTTTTGTGTTTAGAAATGTGTTTTTTCATGAATCTCATTACCTTTGTCTACAAAGAACATTGAAACCCGTCCAGTTTTATCTTAACCACCTATGTGATATGATCTTGATTCTCCTGTCCAACTTACCAGTTCTTCTTCTACTTCAAATAACCATCTTTCTACTACACCTACTCCTGCCATTCCCACTTCCCCTACCAGTCCCTCTCAAATAAATATTCATGGCATTCCTACCCCTATTCCACCTCCCAAACAGTCTTCTAGGACTAAGAAACAACCTTCTTATGTTGATGACTATACTTGCAATCTAGTTCATCTCACAAATGTTTCCATATCCTGTTTTGAGTCCCAATTGTCACCTCCTTGTTTTTCATTTTCTACTCTTTCCAATTCAAATCAACAACTCATTCATTCTTTACCTTCTCTTGTTGAGCCTACTAGTTATGCACAAGCTGCCTTGCATCCTGAATGGAAAGCTGCCATGGATCAAGAATACAAGGCATTGATCTTTAATGGAACTTGGGATGTTGTGGATCATCCTGATGGACACAAACCATTACCTTTCAAGTGGGTGTATAAAGTTAAACATCACTTTGATGGATCTATTGAGCGACTTAAAGCAAGGTTAGTTGTCTGCGGCGACATTCAAAAGGAGGGTGTGGACATCACATAAACATACTCTCCAGTTGTCAAAATGTCCACTATAAGATGTTTGTTGGTTGTAGCAGTAAAGAAGAACTGGGGTTTATATCAATTGGATGAAAAAAATGAATTTTTACATGGAGATTTAGAAGAAGAGGTCTATATGAGGTTCCCTCCGGGTTTTTCCCCACCTAATTCAAGTAAGGTTTGTAAACTCCACAAGTCTTTTTATGGTCTACGACAAGCATCTCGTCAATGGTACGCAAAATTAACAGATGCCTTAAGTTTCAAAGGTTATTAACACTCTTCCAATGATTACTCACTTTTTATCAAGAGAGTAGGGGATTCTGTTACCATATTGGTTGTTTATGTTGATGACATCGTTCTAACGGGCAACAATTTGGATGAGATGCATTCTATCAAACAATTTCTAAATCAAGAATTTCAAATTAAAGATCTTGGGAACTTAAACCGTTTGAATTTCAAATTCTATCTTTCGTTGACAGAGTATCAATCCTTGGTCCTCCCGGAGAATTTCAAATAGTTCCTAGGCATGGAAGTTCTCCGGGAGGACCATGGATTGATACTCTGTCAACGAAAGTTCACCATGGATTTTCTTAAAGAGATTGATTCTGTTAATTTACGACGTGTTTCTTCACCTTTTGATTGCAATGAAACACCCCGTCTTGATCATGGTTCTCCTGTTTCTGATCCCACTTTTTATCGATGTCTTATTGGGAAACTCAACTATCTCGCTCATACTAGGCCAGACCTTGCTTATACAGTTCAACACCTTAGCAAATTCATGTCCAATCCCTGCCAACCTTATTTGGATGCTACTCTTCGTGTACTCCGGTACTTGTTGAAAGATCCCAACTTAGGCCTTTTTATGTCCTCTTCCCCTTGTTTTAAAATTCTTGCCTTTTGTGATTCAGAATGGGCTAGATGCCCTGAAACTCGTCGTTCTGTCTTCGGATTTTACATCTCTCTTGGTACTTCTCCTCTTTCTTGGAAATCCAAAAAGCAAGCTTCCATTTCCTTAAGCTCGGCTAAAGTAGAGTATAGATCGATGAGGAGAGTGGTGGCGAGATCACTTGGTTGGTTCGTCTTCTTCACGATTTAACTGTTCCAATTTCTCTTTCGGTCCCTTTACACTTCGATAGACAAACAACCATTCATATTGCCAGAAATCCTGTCTTTCATGAATGGACGAAGCATGTCGAAATCAACTGTCACTTCGTCCCCCAACAGTTCATCGCCGGTCTAATATCTCTCTCTTTTGCGGACCTATTCACCAAACCACTTCCTAAGCCTCTCCATTCTCTTCTGTGGGCAAGTTGGGAGTTCAATCCGCCCCCTCCAACTTGAGGGAGGGTGTTGACAATATTGGTTTCTATAGTGACACATTTTCACAGTTGAAGAAATATCAAGGATAAAAGATGATCAAGAAGACATATTTGTTTCCTTCGTTACAAATAAAGTCATCTGGGCACTTCTCCAAGTCAACCTCAAGTCAAAAAGAGCATGGGCTATAACACATGGCCCATAAAAAGAATGGGTCACAACATACTGATCTGGATTGATCCATTAACAAAATCTGCCTAGGATACTATTTTTCCTCTCTATACGTGTACATAGAATAGAATGATCTAGAAGTAGAATTAGAATATTCCTTCACTATGCTTGTTATTCAAGTCAACAAATAACAAGATGACAGGTTTCGTAGTTAGGTACAAAATAGCACAACAAATCTCTATATAACAGAATGTACAGTGTCCCCAACAATCATCAAGAAGTAGAAAATATTTTGTATCTCCTTTTTCATTTTTACATATGGTGAAGCCAATGCAAAATATTGAATCTGGATGTGATGATGAGTTGATGAACGAAATGAAAACACAACCCCAGTGGCCTATCGATTATCAACTTTCTCAGCTAATCGTCACGTTTCCAATGGTTCAAGGAAGTAGTGCTATAATGAATGAAGGAAATAATAATGTTGAATTTGTTGTTCCTGAGCAGTTGTCAACATATCACGAAGAGCAAGTGCAGAATGTTGAAGAGACAGTAGATAGTGCATCATCACATTATCACGTTGAGCATACATTCACTGGTGTTTTAAACAACGACGAGTGCTTATTAATAGATGAATTAGGTGATTTTGATAAGTTTATGGGAGAAAACCAGGGATGGCTATCTGAGTTGGTTTCTTAGTCTAATTCTTGTCAAAAATATATAGGCAGTTTTGATTACACAAATATATATATGGAAGTGAAATTGTTTCATATATTCAAATCAATAAATATACTTTTATTGTTTAATCTCTACTTATCTGATTGCTAGTACTGCATGTTCAGGTTAAAGTTTGAAAAGAAACTTAAATTTCTTGTTTGCAATTAATGTTAAGTCTCTGCTCAATCTCAGACCTTCAGATCATGTAGAAATACAAACCGTATGAAATTCACTGTTGTTAGCGTAGACTAGTACTGGTCAAAATAGCTAAACTATGTATATTGTCTAAGGTTGTTCTTCTCTGAGGTTGTAATTTCGATTTTCATATTAGAGAGAGTCAGGAGGTTAGATGGGAAGGGTAAAAGCCAGAAAACAATTGTTGATATGTATCATTTTGTACCAGGCCTTCAATCATATATACTACTTCTTGTTTCTTGTCTATGTGTAAATGGAGGTTTTGGCATTTCATAAGCAAGGTTAAATCTTTACGTATATATGGTAGATATTGAACTCTCTTAGTGAAAATTCTACCTTCGCCAATGAATACATGTGGTATCAATTTTTATTTAAGGAGTTGTTTGGTAGATTGTATAAAAATAATGCAAAATAGAGTGTATTAGTAATGCTTGCATTAGTCATGCTTATGTTAATTATACATAAATTATTTTTATGTATTGTTTGGTTTGATGCATTAAAAATACCATGTATTGCATAAAAAAATTATTTACAAAGATACCCTCCACTATTATAGCGGAAAAGATGGGATAATTGAGTTTAATTTAGTTAATGCCTGTGGACTGACTTTTCTCTAAGAATACAAGTGCACCTTGGCCTACTCCAAGACTTCAAGTCAAGACTGAGTACTAGTGCAATTTCTTTGATGGTAGGCAGACTATTCCGCTACAACTTGTTTATTTATCCCACAAACAACCAGTGCTCACAACTGAACATGTTGCTCTCTCATCTATTCATTCTTTTATTGTGTAGTATGTTCATTATCATATCTACTGCCACTAATATTCACGAAACTGTTGCCATATCATGCGGCACCAGATGGACGAGTATGGATTAGAGATGCAAGTTTCACTTCCTCATTGCTACGGTTGGTTAACTGGAAAGTCTATAAAGTCAAGAGTAGCTGGCTTGTCGGATTCAGTTCCTTATAAGTCAGCTTGAACGTCTCACCATCAGTTTACCTCCGTGAAACCGGGACGCTTGCACTTCAAACCAGCTTCTTTCAGAGGTTTCTACAAGTCCAATGCCATTTTTACTGTCAAAACTGTGACTTCATACCTACCCTTGCTGCGGGCATCACCTATTTCATAAAAGGAATTTTGCATCAATGTACAAGAAAGTGAAATGTTAAGCATAACATTCCTACCATCTCGAACAGATATACATCCTCAGCAACAACTCACATTGCACCGAAAAAAGTTTACCAAACGGCCAGGTCAGTGGGTGCGCACTGTCATTCGAATGTCTGTAATCTCACATGGAACAGTCCACTTGATTTGGGATTCAGATACCTTGTTAGGCTCCACTTTTGTGAAATTGAACCTATGATGACAGATGAAGGCCAAAGGAATTTCACTATTGTCATAAAAAATCAGAATGCTGAAGATGAAGCTGATGTGATTTCTATATACAGGGACTATGTTGCCATTATGGAGTGTGATATAAGGGAAGGGAAGCATAACCTTTCTATAGTTTTGCAGCCAAAGTTTTCTAAAATCAGTAAACATACTGACGCCATCTTGAATGGGCTAGAAGTCTTCAAGATAAGCAACCCTGACAACAATCTTGGCAGTGTGAGCACTGCACATCCTGTTAGCAGTTCAACACCAGAGCAATTTGTGCCATTTTCTACAAAGAATAAAATTGCAACTGTACTGACACTTATAGTCACTTTGATTAATGCAGAGATAAAGTCTTGCAAGACGAACAATGGAATATCTTCAGAAGAGCATCAGTTTCATCAATTTTCACTGGATGAGATGGAAAGATCAACGAACAATTTTGATCATGTTAGTGTGTGTACATTTGAATATTATAAAATCCACATTGCTTTGTCACATTGACAATTTGTCTCTAAGTCATTCCTTTCTCAATTCATTGTTGCATTAGAATTAGAATGTTGGAGGCAGGTGTCCTAATTACTCTTTTGTGGTGTAAATGCTCTTTAGGCTTTATTGCCTTTGGTTACTACCTAGACATTTGCTAACTGCCAGAACGTGGTCTTCCAAGACCATTACTTTGCCATCGAAATTTCACTTTATTTCATTCTTTATTCCTCAATAATACCTTGTAACATATGTAACCTCTAGGCCATTTATCTCTTCACTATTTACTACACCATTATCTTCCTATTCATTGCTAGAAAGACTTTTTCTAGTATAAATAGTGGTGGTCTTCATTTGGTTTAGACACAAGAAAAATATAGAGTGAAATAGTTAGTCAAAAAAGAGAGTTCTTATTAGTTGAAGAGAGGTGTTTTTTTTTGTGGAGCTTTGGACTTAACTCTTGTCCAGAAGTGTTGAGTTATATTTTGTGATTAGGTTGTTGTATCCTGGAGGGGACGAGTCAAGAAGGACTACTACTGGACCAGTGAAAATCATTTGATGCAGTGGGCTTGAATCTCCTTAAAGAGAGCGATATATCCGCGCCTCAGCCTGAAGAGATTTTATTTCTTCATTTTATTTTCAATTGTAATCTTGTAATTCTGTTATTTTGTAATTTTTCACTAACAATTTTAAGGAGATTCATAATGGCTACAATTGAAAAAACCACGGATGTCAAGATGGGAGACCTTAACAAGCCATTTTGATTCAATGGTAACCATTTCAAGAGATGAAAGGGTAAAGTACTTTTTTACTTAAGTATTTTCAATGGTTCTTACGTGTTAATTGAGAAGAATCCTAATGAAGTTGACATCAACTTTATGAATGATGATGAAACTATTTCTCATCTAGAAAAAGTGGAAAAGTACGATGGTGATTCCTATAAGAGTTTATTTATATTCTTAATTGTCTATCTGATAATTTTTATGATTATTATGATAAAAATTACTCTAGTGCAAAGAAAATTTGGAAAGCATTGCAGAGGATGGAGCGAAAAAATATGCGGTTAGTAGATTTTTTCATTTCCAAATGGTGGACAACAAATCAGTGGTAGACCAAGCTCCAGACTTTATAATGATTGTTGGAGAGCTCAGGTCCGAGGAGGTTAAAATTGGAGATAACCTTATTGTTTGTGGCATAGTAGATAAAATTCCACCTTCTTGGAAGGAATTTCAAAAAACTATGTGCCACAAACAAAAGAAAACTTCTCTTGAAACCTTGATAATGAAAATCCGCATGGAAGAAGAGGCAAGGGGCCAAGATGCACTTTTACAACAGAAGAGAGAAACATCACAACGAAGGTAAATTTAATTACTTCAAATAATGCTACTCCTGAATCTCACAAAAATACTTCTTTGAAGCCTAAGAAGAAAAAACTCAAGAAAAATAATGGTAGACCTCCCAAGAAAAATAATGGTGAAAATAACCAAGCACAAAATCAACAAGTTCAAGATAAGGGACCGTGCTTTATTTATGGCAAGAGTGGGCATATTGCTCGATTTTGCAGATTCCGAAAACATGGTCCTAACTTTAGGAAAACGTTACCGAAGAACCTTTTGTGGTGGTGATTACCGACATAAACATGGTTGAGAATATTGATGGATGGTGGGCTGATTCTGGTGCAAACCGTCATGTCTGTTATGACAAAGATTGGTTTAAAAAATATACTCATTTTGAAGAGCCCAAAACCATCATGCTTGGTGATTCCCACACAACTCAAGTGCTTGAAACAGGAGATATCGAATTGGGTTTTACTTCTGGAAGGGTATTAACT